GCATGGATTAGGCGTATCTATATAAATTGATTCTAAAGGTCAGAAGTAATAAACGTTATCATTGGTCTGACAAATTCTTTCCCTAACTAACTTTAAATAAAGGGTGATTTATTTACCTCAATACATTAAAATTATCAATAAAATTGGAATATTGAAGATCCGTTTTCATAAAGGTTTTGATACTTGGTTACAATCTGACTCATTCTACTGAAAGTTCGTCTATTGAAGTTATAATTCAAATTTAAACCGTTATACGTATAAAGAAAGTTGGTCAGCATCACTGGATCTTTGAAACAAACTTAAGAAATAAATAAAACCCCAATGGCGCGAAATCCTGAAGTATATCACCTTTTTAGTTGTAATTAATCCTTTCACTCAATCATTTGCTTTTAAATGTCACCTTAATTGTAAACATAAATTGAATAGAATATGTGACAAAGGGGTTTTATAGAGGTACCCCGTGTCAGGTTATGTATACAACGGTAGAAAAGTCACGGAACGGTTTATATCCTAACCGTTATACAGGGTTTTCCACAAAGAGGTTTAATTCAACATTTGATTTATTTTTTATTACTCGCCAATTTATATACAGAATATTTGGAAACATTACACAATAAACATTCAGAATTAAGTAGGTTTTAAAGATACTGTATGAAGATTATTTGCTTCCTACCCTTGTGAAAACAAAATTGTAACATATTGATCATTATACTTATAAAATATTAAAAATTGTGTTTTTGGATTTGTAAAATATTTTTATTGTCACAATCAAGAGAAATAAGGCTCATTTGCAGGATAACTAGAACATAGCCTTACAAACCTAAAAGTAGAGTCAAAATTGTTAAAAATGTGATTCATCTCCAGTTTACGAATTCGAAAATTAATTTGATTTAATAATCTATTATAATTAGTCTAGTTATTAAAGAATTTTCAATATTTCACCATTTTGTTTCTTCAATGTCTAGGGAGCTTAAATTTTCTCAGAATATTTTTAAAAAACTACTTTATAAATTGTATAAAACTTAAATATTCTCAGTCTGTAAATGGACAATTAATGTAAAATCAAACGCTTAAACCTCTTTGTGGGACATCCTGTATATAACACCGTATCTAATTTAAAGTCCTAATTAGTAAAGAATGATGCCACAACCCAATCTAAAAAGGTTGTTTCCGTATCAAATGGTGGTGTTTTATAGTTTCACATATTAGGTTGAATTTCCATTGAATCTCATTTTTGTCAAATTTTGTAGTCCAGTTTTTTTGTACAATGGTAACCAATATATTAAACCATTCCGGGGTATAGATGGATTATACTTTACCATAGAAAATCCAATTGTGCCTCTGGTATTCCTGGTGTTAATTGGTTTTAATAGTGTTCATAATAGTAATAGCTTTAAACACATAACTGTAGATCATGAATGTGAAAATCTCCCTGTACTAAACCATGGATTAAAAAATAAAACTATTATACATGAACTAAACTACCAACGACGATAAGTAAATCATAAGAATGGTCAAATTTTGTGTCTCTTTAACAACTAAAATTTACAGTTTTATTATCAATGTTTTTCAATAAGATCAAGAGATTAAGACTTTAAATTAAAAACCTGAATCGGAATTAAAATTGTCAGCCTTTGTTTTGACCTTCAGTACAACATGGTACAGCCACGTGGAATTTAAGTACAACATGTGAATATTCAAGTGTTTGGGTTAAAAAAGCTTCCCCTAGTACTTTGATTTCCTAGACACACAATAGTTTTACCAAAATAAAATATTTACTATTTCACAATCATCCTTTTTAATAATTTTAATAATTATAATCAACTAAAACTAAATTCTTTGCATAAATTTTTTAAATGATGAAAATCCATTTAGTCTAAACTCATTGAAAATGTAAACGTTTCATGTCCTTAGGGAAATTCAGTGTAACAGCGTCTTAGCAGAAACGTGGGATCTTAATTAAGAAAACCTCTTCGCATTCGCTTTTATATCTAATTGCATTGCCTGTAACTCAGTTCAATGTTTTCTTTTGTATCCATTGTGACATTTGGTTCTTTCTTGATATATTTTAAAATTATTCATTGATTGATAATATTTATTACAAATACAATTTTTAAGGTCTCTAATATATTTCAGCAAGAAGACCTTCATATTTATTATACTAAATATACTTCTTTACCTAAATATTTTTTTTTCATTTTGATTAAAATTTTATAATTTTATATACTAACTGCCTTTGGAATGTTTATGGAATAAAGGGTAAAAGAGTTATATATAAAAATACTGTGCTATATTGTGGAATTAAAGAAATATCGTGGTTCAAAATTAAGGATATATTTAAAAATGTATTACTACAATAAATTTCAGTAAACATTTTGAATGCCTGTCAAAGTTATATGGGTCCCAGAATTATAATAAAACATTAAACAACATTCGTGTTTAATGGAAAGTATGCGAAAATAAAAGTAGGTACTAATGAAATACGTATAAGTTTGCATGAAATAAATTTCGAAAGATTTACTTTACTCATTTCGGAAGACTTACAGAAATGCTTTAAGACATTGTCTGTACGTGACTGTACTGTCTTAAAACAGATATATTAATTTAAATAGTTTTCAGCTGACTTAATTGTTTGTTTGTTTTTGTTTTTGTGTTGTTCATGATTTTGAAATGGAAGTAAAAACTATGTAACATAATGTTAGTTTCATTTTAGCGAATTTCCCATATAGGGAATAAGCTATTACCGTAGTACTCATGGTAAGACCTGGACGCGGGACCGATTTTTTTTTTCGTTTTGAGGTCCCTAGAGGCCAAAAACACCATCCGTTCAAATTCATATATATATATATATATATATTTATATATTTATATATATATATATATATATATATGTGTCCGTCAGCACGATAACTCGAGCAAAAATGATCCGATTTTGATGAAATTTGGTACAAACGTGTAAACCTACGTCTATTCGAACGAGTTCGCGATCCAGCATGATCGGACCATGGGAACGGGTGTTTACGGGGGGTTTTATGGGGTAAAAATAGGTTTTTCCCAATTTTGACCCAAAAAACATAAAATTTAGCAATAAATTTCCAAACCATTTTGTAGAGCTTCAAAAAACAAATAATTTAGTATATTGAAGCGTTATTATGCGCCTAATGGTTACAGAGAAAATAAAAAAAAATTGTAAATTTAAAATTCCCATGTTATTCTTATGGAGAATGAGTAAACTGTTGTAGTTTGCTTGTTTATGAACATATTTTGATCAAATTTGGAAAATGTTTTTATTTCTTACTAACTATTAACATTTTACAAAAAAAAAACAGTTTTACCCTCCCTGATGCAGCAAACCTAAGTACTTTAAACTAATTCTATTTAAATCGGGAATAAATGTTATATTTTTAAGTAGACATTTCAGTGTAAATCCAATCAGTCAAATGGAAATTCGCTTAGTCTGCAGGTTTGCTGCGGCGGGGGTATTATATTTAAAACTGTTCAATGGCGACGAGGATGGGATGGAGGAAGGGTGAGAGACACCAGGAGCTAGTAGAAGAAGGTATATTAACACCCAGTCAACCTATTTTCTGTTCTAATTTTGATAAATTTGATGAAGACAATGAGACATGGAGTTCATACATGGTAAGGCTAGACAACTTTTTTGACCTAAACGGAATCACGTCAGAATTAAAGAAAAAGCAATATTTGATCAATTTATTGACACCTAAAGTATTTCACGACCTGAGAATTAATCTAAGCCCATGTGACATTGAGGATAAAAGTTATGACAAAATATGTGAAGCTTTACAATTATTACTGGAACCTAAGGGAAGTATTATTGCAGTGACTCAAACATTTTTTAAGTAATATGTTTCTTAATATTCATATTAGTGATTTGGAATTTGTATTGAATATATTTTAGAATATTTAGAAGAATTACTAGAATATTTTAGATCATTATTATAATAGTATGTGTTGTTCATCCTTACTTTGGCTATGCAGGATGAGTATTCGCACAAGACCAATGTCTTTATTTATTGTATTATATCAAGAACACCTTTGATGATAGTTTATTATCTTTAGGTTGATTTTCCATATCAGAAATTTTCTATTGACGTAAGTACCAGCTATGTGAAAAAGAATAAAATAAAAAAATAATTTAAAAATCAACGATTAGTTTGGGAATTGGACTTTAATCAATTGCCTCATGTAGTTTGTGTAAAATAAACGATGAAGAAAATATTTGTTTTGTTTTATACTCAGTTTTTAATGACTAGATAATTCAAGGTCCATATCAAAAAATGCAAAAAAATATGTATAAATTATAACGATTAGGAAGTATAGCTTTAATATATTAATTAGTAGTATTGTTCCCATAAATAGGATTTAATAGTTATTTATAAGATAAGGTTTTAAGTAGCTATATATTATTTTAGCAGCTATATATTATGTAGCTTAGCACAGGTAATATTTATTCAAAAACATAATTTCCTACGTTTATTTTTATTTGTAAGATTCGAAATCCAAATAACAATTAAACTTAGTAAAACTAATAGAATATATATTTTAAAAGTGGTAATGTCAGTAGGACTTAAAATCGATCATGGTCATGATGTTGAAAAACTATAACCACCATTAATTAATTTGACATAATTTATTTAAATGTTTTTTTTTCGTTTATGGCGAAATAAAACACAATAATTCATTAATTAAAACAGCATTTAAATTATTTCTCTTTAGGCGAATTTGATTATCCACTCCCCTCGGCGGTAAAACTTCTAAATGCATTAGCATAAACTTTGTTGAGTCATTGTGCAAACTCGCAAAGTTTGTTTTGATTTTACAATAGCATTGTTAAAAGATAATGAATGTTGCGCTAATTGAGGACAAATACTTGTTTCAATCCGCATCCGCTAATAATGACTTTATTTAATGAATACCGTTTGTTAAAACCAATTGGACAAACAGTTTGTCTAATTATGTATCGTGTTTGTAATTGCATGACCTTAGTAGAGCCAGAAGTCGTGTGGCAGAATAGTGAACTACTCCGAGGAGAAGGAGTTGTTCATTGTTGAAACCAGGGAAGACTTTTCTGCAGCAAATTTATACTTTCGTAAGTCAATCAGTTTTTTCAACAATATTATCGGTTACTAACAGAAAGAGTGTTTGTTATTGTTACTGGTTAAACGTTAAGGGGGAAACTCACGAAAGTTAAATCTTCTTTAGAAAACCTAAGATTTCTTCTTTGCGTTGCAGATATTTTACTATGACACCTCTACATTTTCTGGTGGTTCTTCTTCTTGCGTCAGTTGAAGCTCAGCTGAATCCTCTGGGGAGGTTTGGAAAGTGCATCGATGTGAAGGCGAAGGATGTTAATGAGGCTGATGTAAGTCTTAGAAGAGTTATTTGTTTTTAAACTACAAAGATTTTCGTCCTTAAACTGGTCATGAGGTCGGAATAAAACAGAAGATAGGAAGGTTGATAGACGATGGTCTGGGAGCTTGATGTTCTCTACTAGATGATTTTTTTTAATGTTAACGATCTTTACCTAAAAACAACCAGTATAAGTGTTAGGGTGGACTCAAAAAAACCACAGTAAAAATAAAAATAAGGGACTATTTATACTTCTATTATGTTCGTTTTATTTTCAGTTTTGTAAAATTAATTGTTCATTTGTTTTTGTTTTATAATTGTAATCACACCATATATAATAAATGAATCCACGAATCTCATTTCCTATCTGTAGGTGTGTATATAATTATTTTACCTTTGAGCAATAAGCTGTATCAATTTTTCCATACACTGTATCGCTTTTTCTAAGCGTTGTTGATTACAACGGTATCTCAACACGAAAAAATAAATAGAATATTTTCTTTTTCATTTATGTTTTTAAATATAATATTATTAGTTAGTTATTGTTTGTACAGCCTATACTTTTCTATTACATATTGAACATTTACCATTCAATTATTTGAACTGATAAAAAATTACAGTTCGTCTTAAACATATTTTATAATGTACTATTGAACTACCATGCGCATCTTATTTCATTACTATACTAAATTGCAATTTCGATGATTATTTAAACTACTTATTTGCATTTTATATTTTCAGCTCGAAGGGACGTGGTACTTACAATACAGACCCGAGAACCCAGATCACTATGTCCACACTTGCCAAGCACAATACGACCACGAGACTAAGGACGGGATACTCCATAGTCTTCTGTATTTCTACAAGTAAAGTATTACAACTGGTATTCTCTTGACTGACAATTATTACTCAGGATTCTTTTTCATTTACTTTTAGATCAGCTTATTTTGCCAAAAGTATTCTTGGTTTTGACAAGTTCACATAAAGCGATGATGTAGTTGAATTAAAACTCAGAACTAAGTACAAATCGAAAGATTTATTTTTGTAAGGTAAACAATTTTTTTACATTTTAGCAAAGGAAAGTCCGTGAATGAGCCGCAACATATCAAGTACCAAAAGATCAAGCCTGGTGTGTACAAGCGAGGAATTACTGTAGATGGTAAGATGGAATCTATTATAAAATAGTGTTAAACACGATTCTACCTTTTAAGCAATTCACGGCGTTTACTAGCTATAATCCTCCCATAGGGCACGAGGGGTCCCAACACCTATCTTAATAGTTCCAATAAAACCTATATCTATAAACGATATAATGATATTCCTTTGTTCGCAGCTCATAAAAATTATAATTTTACCATAGTTTTCATTACCATACACACTTTTCTAAATAGATTTCAGTATCAGAAAATTCAAAGTATCAAAATAAAAACACCAAATGAAGTTTAGAGTCAGATTGTTTGGTGGACCTGTCTAACCTAAGTATTACGTTGATAATAATATGGTTGTAATAGTAGCTTAAACTTAACATAAATTGTTCCAATAGATCAAGAAGTTCATATCGTAACACACGAATTTGTCAGTGGAAATGTTGTGGATATTTTTGTTCGTTTGGACAGATTTTGTAATTGAATATTAAAGGAAAATTTAACCAATTTTAGTTTTAAATTCACATCTTCTTTCCTTATGATATTTTAACCTCAATAACTACAATGGTTTATTTGTCATCTCATTGAATTACTGAAACATGCCTTGTGTTTTCCCCATTTCAGAAGCAGCTGTTTATATTAAGCTATATGTACTTGATTTCGACACAGAGAAGAACTCCAGGGTTCTCTACTACTGCACAGACTCTAACAGTGCAAGTATGTATATCAAATAACTGGTACGTTTAATTGTGATAATCCTTGAGCTAATTGCGTTTCCAATTATAAGATAAAACCAATAATATTATGCCATATAAAAAGATCAGACTACAGAACGAAAACTTGATTCAATGATTATTAAGATTGCACTGAATCGTAAAACAAAATTGACGTAGTTCGTAAAATATGTCCATCGCAGATCTTAATTTTAAAGGTTGTTTTAACAAAATATTTTTTATTTTTTGATTTACGTAGACCAAACTATTTTATTGTGTGTACAGATCCAGATATTTTCAACGTTCAGATTGCTACCAGAGATCAAGTTCCGACGAACCTCAAAGAAGTTTTTGCCGCTGGTGAATCCAAGTTGCAAGAAGCCTCTTCAAAGTTCAAAGTTCCCTTGATGAAGGTAGAGCAGTCTACTGCGAAATGTGCGCCCCTCATTGTAGAAAAGGGTGCTATGGACAAGTATTTGGGTTGAGTAATAAACATTGTTTACAAAACTCATTATGGGAGTATATATTTAAAGTATATGTAAACAAATATGATAAATCCTATTAGACATTTTCTAGCCTAACTTATTTCATGAACATCAAACTAAATTTATTTGAACAAATAGAAACTAAGGAAATATTTTTTGTCTTATACATAAGAACTGTATACATGGTATTGCATTTTTGTATTCACTTTTTCTACTACTTAAATGTGTTTTTTTTTTATTTAAGGAAAAACAGTATATAGTAAGAGTTTTTAACCATAGTACATGATTCACTAGCGTACTATATGAAATCCTGAAGAATATTTCACAATATTTTTAATATCTTTCAACCTAGATTTAGTCGAGTTTTTTTCATTTGAAAAAAATTATTGTGTTCTAGTTCACTTATGTTCTTCTATCGACTAAAGTATTTGTTGTACATATTAGGATGATCTAATTCCCTGATTGTGAATTTATGTAAATTTATTTATCACAATGCTATCTTTTGCTAAAACCAAAAACGTTATCAAATAAAATAAACAAAGAGTTTCGCACATACAAAAAGCGTCCTTATATACATTTCAACTAATAATTATCGTACTCTATAAATTCAAACTAAAAGTACGACAGAAAATGCATCTTTTCTTAATGATTGTTTAACTACACACTACTTTACACAATTGGCATTTTAATGAACAAAGTAAACTACATTCAAGTGGTTAAAGAGGACACTGGCTTGAATTGTCCAGGTGAAGTTAAAGTTTCGTCCCCATTGTAGTGTATAATAGTTCAACTACTAGTTATCTTGACTTTAGTAATTACCTTTTCCATGGACTGTCACAGTCAAAGTAACTGCTTGCTAACATTCATGAACATTTACAACAATGTCGGACCTCTACACTACTGTGTGTTGACAGTTTAACTAGTAACCTCAACTATTACAATTACCTTTACCATGTCTAAAGGTAGTCTGACTTTAACTAGTCATAGTCAGACTAGTTGATAGTTTGTTTTTGTTCTTTTTACCTGGTTACCTTCCTGTACAACTACGTCGTCTCTCTACACTACAGTGTGATGATGGTTTGACTAGTCACCTCCACTTTGGTATTACTTTAACTATAAACTGCCCCATTCAGAGTAGTATATGAATAAAACATAGTAGTACAGGTAAAATAATACAAATACACTCCATATAAACAACAAAATTTGTACATTCATGAAATTTCACCTTTGAGTTACTAATAATATGAGAAATGAAGATCCGATGAGTCCCCAAAATTTTGGGCGTCCTAAGGCCCTTTTTGGGGCCCTTTTTGTTCCGAAGGGTCCTTGTTCCTGAATAATTTTGTGTTTACGTTTAAGGTCAAATGAGGTGTGGTTTTCGATGGTTTTAGTTATTTTAAATCGATTGGGAGTAGTTTTAAGTGTATTAAAACACACCATACAGGGTGTTTCGAAATATTATTACTTTTTACGATATTTAAACATTTATTCATAAAGTGATAAAATTAGTCACCTCCTTGCTCTATATAATAGGGGATTATTGAAAATAACTGTAATTCTTTACTATATAAGAGGGAAGGATCAAAAGGAGTAAGAGAAAATATTACATACCCCCGTCACAGCAAACCTGCAGACTCACCGAATTTTCATTTAACCGATTTTCAATTAAATCTAAAATAGCATTGAGTTTAATGAATACTTAGGTTTGCTGCTACAAGGAGGCTAATAAAGTGTGTTTATAGTAAAATATTAATAGCCTAGTATAAAACAAATAAATTTGACAAGTTTTATGAAGACATATCTATAAACAAACAAACTTAATTATTTTACACTATTCTCCTTAAGAATAACATGGAATTTTAAATTTACAATTTTTGAATTTTATTCGTAACTAATACACTTACAAAACACGTTAATATACTAAATTAATTGTTTTCTTTAAGCTCTTTAAAATGATCTAGAGAAAAATTGGGAAACTTTGTCTTTTGAGGGTCAAAGATTACAAATTTTTACCACATAAAACCCTGTTCCCTGGACCGATTATGCCGGTTTCGTTAAAATTGAACCAAAATTACTCGAGTTATCATGTTTACGGACACGTATATACACATGAATATATTATGACATGGATATATTATATTGTATGTATGTATATAAACACATATATAATATTTTGAGTTTATGGTGCTTTAGGCTTCTGGGGGCATCGAAATGAAAACGTAAATTGGTTTCGGGTCTATGTTTTACCATAAGACCTCCGGTAATATCTTATATGGGATGTTCGCTAAAAGGGGATGGATTAAGTTTTACACTATAACATAATAACATAGTTTACTAAGCAAAAATTTCAACTTTTAAGGTGGTGTGAATAATCTTTCAACGTGTTTTTTATGCAAATCTATTAAGACCAATTTAAAATTGATATGTATTTTTCTTAGGTAGTTATTTTAGTTATTTTTCTTACATTTATTTAAAATTAAAACAATTGTTTGTATAAAACCTTACATTACATATTAAAATGAAGTACTTAAACTAAAGCTATTTTTCTACAATTTCCGTAGTATCTCTCTTTACAATTTCATGATCACAATAATCATTCTCAGACGACTCATTAACAGTTTTATTATTCTTAGCAACTTGTCCATCTTTACTGATTTTGTCCAAGTTGGTGTTCAAGCAGGATTCCCCTTTACAAACCTAAAACCTTGCATATTGCAGAACAGGCAACACCAATCTTAAAGCACGAACAATGTGGTGCAAAAACACCTTTCATACATACTGACGTTTGCAACTTGTATCTTAAGTTCCTCAAACTTATTTTCAATCAATACAAGTACGGTTATCTTTCGTGGTTATGACGACCAGGACAGCACTAAGACATCAGAGCAGCATTTTCGGTACAAGCATTTTTGTCCTGAACAATGGGAACGAGGTTTATGGGGTAAAAATTGGGTTTTATAATTTACCCTCAAAACACAAAGTTTCCCAATTTTACTCTATAACATTTTAAATATCTTAAAAACAAATTATTTAGTATATTTACGTGTTTTTGTATGGTTATTAGTTACGGATAAAAATACTAAAATGGTGAATTTAAAATTCCCATGATATTCTTATGTATAATAGTGTAAAATGATTTTGTTTGTTTGTTAATAGATATATTTTGATCAAACTTGTCAAATTTATTTGTTTTATACCAGGCTATTAATATTTTACCGTACCATAAACACACCGTATTAGCCTCCTTGTAGCAGCAAACCTAGGTAATCGTTAAACGCAATGCTATTTTAGATTTAATTGAAAATCAAGTAAGTAAAACGGAAATTCGCTAGGTCTGCAGGTTTGCTGTGACGGGGGTATTTAATATTTTCTCTTACTGCTTGTGATTTTTTCCCCTTACGTGGTAAAGAATTACAATTATTTTCAATAATCCCCTTTTATATAGAGCATGGAGGTAACTAATTTTATTACTTTATGAATAAATGTTTAAATATCGTAAAAAGTAATAATATTTCGAAACACCCTGTATGGTGTGTTTTAATACACTTAAAACTACTCCCAATCGATTTAAAATAACTAAAACCATCGAAAACCACACCTCATTTGACCTTAAACGTAAAAACAAAATTATTCAGGAACAAGGGCCCTTCGGAACAAAAAGGGCCCCAAAAAGGGCCTTAGGACGCCCAAAATTTTGGGGACTCATCGGATCTTCATTTCTCATATTATTAGTAACTCACAGGTGTAATTTCATGAATGTACAAATTTTGTTGTTTATAAACCCCTATTTTACCTGTACTAGTTTACTTAAACCTGAAATGGGAATTTTTAAAATTTATATTATTCAAATACATTGTAATATTTCCATTTATCGTCTGAACATATTGAACCTTTTTGTCTGTATTTTTGTTTATTTCTATGCTGGTTAGTATTTTTAGTGCTTGTTAATTTAAAATGTTTTATAAGGGTTTAACTACTTAAGATTTATGAGTAAAGTAAATGTATGCCACAAATCCACATTGCTCGTGTAAACCTAATAGCCCTTGCAGCTATCAAACGACACTAAATTCAGCATATATATCCTTGTAAATAGCATCCCTAACTAGGTAATGCTGGGATAACGTGATTTGTTGGAGAATGTATGAGCTAAGCTATCACAAGGTGTTTCGTGTAGGAAATTTATGTTTAGATTTACGATGCAACATTAGAAAATCCTGTTAACACAACATGCTAACGTTAATGTTCACATATTTTCATACTCAAGGAATACATTTTTATGGTATAGCCTCTGGATCACTGATTTTTACAATAAAAGGTTTAAATTACCTGTAGCCGTCAAGTGATCCTGGTTTGTAGTTAATTGACTACAGCCATTTCATGTTGTAAAAACACATCTTCAGGTCAAACGTATATACATTGATTTAATCCATGGAATGGTCGTCAAGGTTTAAAGTTCACAAAAATAACACATACACGTACACGAAAACATTAAAACATAAATTGGCCAACACAAAAATACGAAAAACGCGTGATAGGCATCGGACACGTACGGCGCCACTAGAAGGTAGGTCATGACTGTCGTGTGCCGGAATATTGGCACATTGTATATATTGCACATATTGGCACAGGATGGAGAGAATAATAAAAAATACGTCAGTGCTGAGTATGGCGTTGTTCTTAATAACACCTTAAGAAGCGAGATGACAAAAAGTAACATCGTTGTAGCATTCAAGACGTCAAATAGACTTGACTCGATGCTAAAATCAAGATACCAACGAGAAGGGGTAGACAACAAGTTCAATAAAACCGGAGTCTATAAGTTGTCTTGCAACGACTGCCCAAGCTTCTACATAGGCCAGACGTCACGATCATTTACCACCCGATTCAAAGAACACCTGCCTAAAATTTCCTCTAAGTCGGCATTTTCCAACCATTTTATTTTTTCCAACCACAACCATACAGATATAAACAATAATCTCAACGTTCTCCATTTATGTAACAAAGGAAAATACATGGACACATTAGAAGAATTTGAAATATATCGTGCTTCAAAAAAACAGCCTGATAACATCTTAAATGAAAAACT